CCTCTTCCCCCCCCCCCCCCCAACCTCTTTGCTGGTGCAGTACTACTAGCCTAGGAGTAACTATACTGTGTACTCCAGGTGTAACATGTTTAAAAAAAAAAAAAAAAAAATATATTTTGATGGTGGAACAGCCGTGAGAAAGGAAAGGGGCCAATGACCCCAACACACCACTTGCGAGATTGCCTCAGGGGTCACCGGCGCATCCCGGCGCCCGCGTTGAGCTTTGGCGGCTGCAGGACCGTGCCCACCAGCTGGTAGTGGCTGAACTAGGAGAAGCAACTCAGTGTGGTTCAAATATTAGGTTTATGTTTCTCAGCCTGGGTTGATTTTAAGTTTTCTTTACTGTGTGGAGATATATAACTACTTGAAAGGATGTTGCAGCGATGGGGGGTCAGTCTCTTCTCCCAAGGAACAGGCGATGGGACAAAAGGAAAAGGCCTCAAGTTCTGCCAGGAGAGGTTTAGGTTGGATATTAGGAGAAATTTTTTCACCCAAAGGGTTATGAAACATTGGAACAGGCTGCCCAGGGAAGTGGTGGAATCACCATCCCTGGAGGTATTTAAAGGCAGGTAGACATGGTGCTGAGGGACATGGGTTAGGGGTGTTTTGGGCAGTGTTAGGTTGATGGTTGGACTTGATGATCCTAAAGGTCCCTTCCAACCTGGATGATTCTATGATTCTATTCTATGTCTAGACAAGATGGGATAACACAAGAGTCCTGGGGATTTGGTACAGTTCGGGGGGGTCAGTTCTTCCCTCCTCACAACTGTGCTTTCACTGCTGTGAAATTACTGAAATGACACTGTGTTCGGCCAACTGCACATCCCAGGGCTTGGGAGAGCTGGGGCTCTGGTCACTTTTCCCTGTACTGCTCCTGCAAGGAGGCATCTCGGAAGGGTTCGAAGGAGTGGAGCCTGAAGGAGGAGCTCATCCAAATGCAAGTTAATTTGGAGTGTGGTTCCCTTGGAAGCCTGAATAAACCTCTGTCTCAGCAAAAAGAGTGCTGTAGGTTTCTTGGCAACTGGGAAGAAACATCTCACAGATCTATGCAGCCTTTTAAGCACCTCAGAAATCAGCACCTTGCTGCAGACAGGAGAATGCTTATGAGCACAAAAGGGTTTTTTTTGGAATGACCTATTCCAAAAAAACTTCTTAGATCTACAATAATGTAGTCAGACCTGTGTAAGAACGTAACCTTTTCTTACACTTTTTTTTTGGTGTGCCTACTGTTTCTCATTAGATTCCTGCTTCACCTTCAGAAATTGTCTCTTTTCTACAGAAACATTTCGCTGTATGTGTCAGCTGTGTGCCTGGTAATTAGCTGTTGATTTAGAGACATACGGGCTGGCCCGACCTTAGGAGGTCACCTAATTGATCTCTGCCTGATGGCAGGATTTGATTACGACTCTCATTCCCAGTTGATGCTTGTCTATAGATGCCCAGTGACAGATTTTCTTTCAGTCCTCGGACACCTGCTCCACTGCCTCCCTATCCCTAACAGTGAAAGCTTTCCCTGATATCTAACCTGAATTTTACTTGTCCTTATCTTCTAGTCCCAGCCCAATGGACTTGGAGAGCGTGTGAAAGCCTTAACAATTTAAGTTCCGGCACAAGTCTTCCCTTGAGTTGTTTCCTGGCTTTTTAGGCCCCTGTAGTATCCTTTGTTGTGTACTGGCTTCTCTTCATCTCCTCCATGGCTTTCTTAAGTGCTGTATCTGAGCGGGACACAGTGCACGTGAGTGGAGGCTTTATCAGCGCTGTGCAGAACGGAAGGATTACTTCATGCGCCTTGCAGCGGATGCTGGCTTTTGGCTGGCTTGGTGTGCCTTTTTCACACGTGCATAACATTGTTTATTCCTCTTCAGTTTATGACCCTCCAAAACACCAGACCACTTTCTGTGGAACAGATATCTGATCAGTTGATAATTGATTATTTATAGCAAGTAATTTACAGTTGATAGTCCCTAAATGCAGTTGAGAGCTTGTCCAGATTGAACTGTGCCCTATTTCCACAAATTTGTCAAGAACTTTCTTAATTCTAGTCTAAGCCTCCAAAGCACTTGTTTCTCCCAGCTTGTGTCACCTGCAGGTTTAACAGGGTTCTCTGTACTTGCAATCCAGGTTGTTAATGAATGTAAGTCATTAGCCGCCTGCTCGTCCTTACTGTAACTCCATGACTGCACTTGCCGAGGAGACCAGCTGCAGTGCAGCTAAGTCTGCACTGGGGAAGGGGATCGGAGGCGAAAAGGGCCGGCAAGGGGCTCTTTTGGGGCTTTTCGAAGCCGGAGAAAGCAAGTAGCTCGTCCTCATGTTTGTGCCGGAACCGGCAGCTTGGGGGAGGGCCAGCAGGCAGGGGCGGCAGTTCTAAAGGAGGTGTGAAGGAGACTCAGCAAGCGGGCGGCCAGAGGGCAGCACCCGGGGCGGCACCTGGGAGCACCGCGGAAGGGCGGACGCCCTGAGTGGGTGAACGGACCGGGCCAACAGGGCCCGACAGGTTGGACGGAAGGGCGCTGCAGATCTCCCAACTGGGTCAGGTAGCCATGGTATCTACCCGGCAGAGAACCATGGCCCCATGCTGTGCACACAGCAGCTCTGATGCTGCTTCGCAGACACAGCTCTCGTCCGAACACGTTGCCAGCCAGGCGTCGAGCTGTTCAATATATTCATCAATGACCTGGATGAAGGGATAGAGTGTACCATCACCATGTGCCCTGGTGGCCAAGACGGCAAATGGCACTCTGGGGTGCATCAAGAAGAGTGTGGCCAGCAGGTCGAGGGAGGTCATCCTTCCCCTCTACTCTGCCGTGGTTGAGGCCACATCTGGAGTATTGTGTGCAGTTCTGGGCTCCCCAGTTCAAGAGAGACAGGGAACTGCTGGAGAGGGTCCAGCAAAGGGCTGCAAAGATGATGAGGGGATTAGAATATCTCTCCTATGAAGAAAGGCTGAGGGACTTGGGTCTTTTTAGTCTAGAGAAAAGAAGACTGAGGGGGGATCTTATTAATGCTTATAAATACTTAAAGGGAGGGTGCCAGGGGGATGGGAACAGTCTTTTTTTCAGTGGTGCTCAGTGACAGGACGAGAGGTGATGGGCACAAACTTGAGCATAGGAAGTTCCGTCTCAACCTGAGGACGGCCTTCTCTGCCGTGAGGGTGGCAGAGCAGTGGCACAGGCTGCCCAGAGAGGTGGGGGAGTCTCCCCCTCTGGAGCCATCCCAAACCCGCCTGGACGCCGTCCTGTGCCACTGCTGGAGGTGCGGGGGGGGGCACTGGGGGAGCTCCAGAGGGCCCTTCCAACCCTGACCATTCTGTGATTCTGGGATTATGTATAGCCCGACTTTCTGTGGGGTCTTCTCTAGGCCCTTGGGTTGGTTTCTGCTGCTTGTCTTGATGTGAGCCTGTGTTACCCAACCCTGTGGATCACAGCTCAAAGCTCTAAACATGACGTTAGGAAGCTGGTCTTGGTCTGGTACTGGTAACTTCTCAAAATACCATGATGCCCACATGGCCGTATGGCAACAGCATTGGACAAGATGGTGTAAAACCATTGGACAAAACTTGTGCAGTTTTCCAGCAGTGTTTGGATTTGCTTTTCTAGGGGAAGGAAAACCTGGGATATCAGCAGTGGTCTGTAGATAGTTGGCTATAGGTTATTTCTTTGCAGTCAGTCCTTAAACATTCTTGCTCTTGCAAAGTTATTAGAGAATTATCAGACTATGGTATATAATTAACACTCAATAAATAA